ATAAAGCAGTCGACCGAAGTCACTCTTGCGCCCACAGAGTCACATATGTGAGGGATGGGTTCTTATGATCGTGAAGAAACTGACCTTTACTTAAACCAAACGCAAAACAGCGGTGTTTTACTCACACTCTTTTCAGCAAAGCTCCAGGGCTTCCAAGGCAGCCATTATCGTTTCCTCTCTCCCACCATCCCGACCGATCCCACCTCGTGAACAACAGGAAGTAACGTAATTTGAATCCCACTTCTCCCTTCACACCACACAGGCGGCGGTGAGGAGCAGTTGCCAACCCCTGTCTATTGCAGTCCAGAATGACCTTCTTCTTCTTCTTCTTCTTCTTCTTCTTCTTCACACTAGCATAGCTGAAGTACACGCAAATATTGAGCAATATCCAAACCAACACATGTTCGCATGTCGATGGGAGGACCAGTCAAAATGAAAGACACCTCACAAAGGTTATGCCTTCTACATATTTCTCCTCCAAAGTACAGGATGTTAGAAAAATAGTTTCTTATATCTGCGATTCATTATAAATTCGGCGGTACAATATAACAAGAAGTTCTGGGAAGAACTAAACGCTTAATTTTCCTTTCAGTTCATAATGAGTACTTTATACGACACTGAAGGCATAGGAAACACCGCATCCAACAATTCTTCTATTGTTGCTTGTGTATTTCTTGCAGCGGGAATGTGTCTACCAATCCGTTGCCTAGCATCGTTATGGCAGTTACAACAAGGTGATCTCATAAGCCTCCTTTTATATTTAAAATATAAGGAAAGTAGACTAACAAGAATTTTGCTTCATTTTTATGGATGTGAATATTGGTCTTTCACATTAACGGAAGAAAGTAGACTTAGGGTGTCTGAGAACAGGGCGTTGAAGAGTATATTTGGACCTTAGAGGAAGAAGGTAACAAAATGGAAAACATTTCATAACATGTCTTTCATGAAATTTATTAGGATAAGCAAGCCAAGCAGGATAAGATCGTTCTAGGTGTGTAGAAAGTATGACAGAATATAACATTGCATACAAAGTTTTTGTACGAAGTTCTGAAGGAAGGAGACAATTAGGCAGATCTAGATTGTGGATAATATTAAAATGGATCTTGTAGCAGTAGGAAGGGAGGGCGTAGACTGAATTTTTTATTTCAAGATAATGACCAGTGTCTGCTTCTTGTAAGTATACCAATGTAATTTCAGGTTCAATAACATGCTGGAAATATCTTGAAATTGGCTGGGCAGGGCAGCAGTGAGGAATATACAAAACTTCAGTTGTAAAAATTGAAGGAAGGAGACCACTTGATATAACTAGTTGTGTATGGGAAAATTATATTAAAATTTATTTAAAAGCAATAGCAAGTGAAATGGAGGAGCCAGGATAGCTCAGTCGATATAGCGACCGGCTATGTGCTGGACCGCCGGGTTTCGAACTTCAGAAGAGGAGATAATTTTTCAGTTGTCCACTAAATCCAAACCGGCTCTGGGGCCCAACTAGCCTCCCATCCAACAGGTAAAAGTGGGCTCTTTCTCCGGGGTGTGAAGCTAACCACTCACCTCCATCTGATGCTGAGGTCAAAGATGCTGGAGTTATACCTCCACTCCACCATGTAGTGCTTAATTAATTAAGCACAGGGACACTTTTACCTTTACTTTAGGATGTGAATGGATTCGTCGAGATTAGGGCAGGAGATAAATAGAAGACTTTCGTGAAGACAGCAATGAAACCTACGTATTCCTAAGCGGCGTCCGTAGTCTAGAGGTAACGTTCCCACCTCATGACTCGTAGTACGCGGGTTCAAACCCGGCGGAGGTCGTCGAATTTTTAAGGGCGGAAAAATTCAGGGAACAAGTCCTCCGGGAGGGGCTTTAAGTCGTGGGTCCCGTGTCGTAGCTTTACGGCACGTAAAAGAACCTCATATCTCCAAAGGAGGTCACTGAGCCAAATTAACGGACGTTTCCCGCCCAACAGCAGTCTCTAATACCTCTGGTAGATGGGGGAAGCATTATAGATACCTCTCAGCTAGTAGAGCCGGTCTCGCTGGCTGGGCGGGACTGATGGTAAGCACCAGTCCCGGTAGGATATAGAGACGGGTAGAAATCATAGAGGGAAGCACAATGGACCAATACAGGTCTCAGTGCATGGGGAAACCCACCCTCTCTAATAACTAACTGACTAACTACGTATTCCTAAAATGCGACGGATTTGTCTCTTAGTTAAATTCAATAGACTCGGATCGATGAAGTTAAGTAGGTAGTTTTCTAGAGTTTTTTATTTGTTTTTTTCTTTTTTTAATATTAATAGGAAGGATTTGGTTGATTAATCATGATGCTTCGGAAAGGAGTTGATTTCTACATAAATACACGCAGAAACCGCCGGAAGTGGAAGTACTGGTGTTATATTCGGCATTGTCCTTTGCATTTGATGTATTTAAAATATACCAGACAATTAGAATGTCCAATTAGTATAATAGTTAGCAATCTTAATACTCGTTTCAATTGCTAACTTCCGGAAAAATGTAGGACGTTAACAGATGATGACATGGTTTGCCACTACCACCGTTGGTCGCCATCCAAGTCTCGAAACGTTAAATTTAATTAAATGACTTGAGCTGTAAACATAACTAAAAAGGCAACATATCCTGCTAAAGGTCGGTTGTGTGGATTAAAGTGTAATGACACTGTAAAAGTGTGGTTACATTCCCTTCGTTGGCTTTTACATCAGCGAGAAAATGTCACTGTAATGGAAACCCGAATGCTTAAGAGTTCAGTAAAGGCGTTCCTTCGGCAGCGCAGTCGGTTGAGGCGCTATGATACAAGCTGGAAGGTCGCTGGTTCGATTCCCGATGAGGTGGATTTTTCAATTGACCTGATCCTTCCAGCCGCATTATGGCCCTGGGGTCTACTCAGCCTCTAACAGAATTTAGTACCAGGAATATTCCTGGGGGTAAGGGACGGCCGGCGCATAAGGCCGACAACCTTACCACCATCTGTGGGCCGATTGTCTAAAGAAAATGTGAGAACCTCGACATCTCACAACCCTATGGGCCTCCACGGCCTGTTTACAACTTTAGTAAGTCGTTCTTTAAGTTCAAATTAAATGTCAATAAAATATCTCAGCAGCTTTAGTTCGTATCCAGCGGAATATATATACGATCTAATCTTAAGCGAAGTTTTAAAAAATAAATTAATAAAACCAAATTTATTACACATATTCACATGTCAGCTTTGCTATGTGTTATTTCCGAGTACAACACAGGACAGTACGGTACAGTCCCTATATATCTGTATGACCAGAATTTCCCCGTCTATATTATTTGAATCAAAGCATCTAGAAAAAATAAGGCACTAATTAAACAATTTAAATTGTCCATCCTGAGGAGTTAAGATATTTCTTCAGCTTGTTAAAAAAGTTCCCTGCCTTTTATTAGGGAACCAGAATACTTATTAAAGTGTTCATAAAAGCACGTCACTGGCTCCTATCCTGAGCCAGATGAATCCAGTTTACAGGAATTTAAAACTTAATTCAATATCATACTCCCATACATGCCAAGGTCTTCCAAGCGGGCTCCTTCCTTCAAATTTCCATACCAGACTAAAAGATTATTAACGTCGTTCAGTGTGATTGATAAATGTTGTGTTTTTAATCTTTCATCCTTTACACGTTCTGTCTTAATAATTTTTTATAAGGACCAGGATGAACGAAGTCAAATTCCATACCAGAAATTTATAAAGATTTCTCTTCCTTCCATGGGGGCTACATTCACCGCCCATTTCATATTCCTAGTTTTGATTATCCTCTTAACATCTATCGACAAGAACACGCCATCTACATTACATAATACAGAATAGCGGTTATGTTCGCAATGGAAACGAGGAATTACTCTTTTAATCCTCAACTTTGCTCAACCTCCCACTCAGGTCACAGTTCTCTGAATTCCCATATGTAAAATTTATTCAACGATTTGCAGACAATAATTATTTAATTATAACATAAATTCGCTTAAATTTCAACAGCGAATAATGATAAACAAACTTCTTCAACAATACCTAACCTCAATGTCTTAAAAGATTTTGGGGGAAATGACACATTGTTATTAAGATACTAATATTGCTAGAATCGGTCTGACAGGCAGCTTTCACATTAATCTGTTTGTTACTGGCTAGAATTCAGAAAGCATCCAGAAGGCCCTGCCTTCTCGACACAGGTCCTTGTGGTTTTTCCTCTGTCCCTAAGAAAATTTTGAGATAGTTCCGAGGTTAAAATTTGCCACTGCGTGTTTAAAATTCTACGAAGCTCTTCCTATTTAAATCCATCAAAACTAAAATCCTCCCACGTGAAGTTACTCAAATTATAATTGTAAAAACAAACGTCGTTGTAAGACAGAATCCCTGACTTTACTACAGTGGGAGTAGAGCGCCTTGACAAAATGGCTGATCGAACGCTAGATAGAAGCGGTTGAAAATGGCCGCGCTACAAAATTACTTCACGTCAGAACATCTACATCGTACTAAGAGTCTCTGTGCACATTTCGGTGATGATTTAAGAGTAATTTTCTGCCTCTCCCATACAAGACTACTAGCCAAAATGGACCTTTGGAAAGGTCACTAGACCATTAACGCAAGCGGTTTTTGAATTAATTATAATATCCCAAACATGTTAACAGGGTCACTTAGAGTCCAAGCGATCCAATGGCAAATGTTAACACGCTGAAACGTAAGTTATGTAGCTGTTAAAACAAGTCATTCTTCTTAATCTTCTACACTAATGCTATGATATACAGTACAGTGTGTTTCAAATAAAGGTGTATTCTCTGGAGAAGTAATGTTGAAGGGCATATGCTTGTTTTAGCGGCCTGCTTCCCCTCCGCCAAACATCCACTTTCAGAAGTTGACCATATGGCAGGAGGAAGGTAGGGGGGCAGGTCCAGGCCAAGCCTGTTTCTTGGTCCAGGACCTGCGATCAGGATGGTATAAATACACCAGGACTGTCCCCAGTTGGTCACACTTGTGTCTTGTGCACTTAGGAAGCCATTGTCCGCCAGCAGTTCAATTACAGTACACTGCGCATTCACAATGAAGACATTGGTGAGTAAGATCATTCTCAGTTTCGTCGTCGCAACGTGGACGCCTGAATTGACAGTGAATTCGGCTAACTTGAATTTATAATTCGGTGGTCTTCAGAGCAGAGGGGATTCATTTAGATTAACTCAAATCTGGAACCGTTCATAGCAGAACAGTAACTCCATGCTGGCCTTCGCCAGAAACGTCATTCTTTTATTCGGGCTTCGAAAGATTCAGTCAGTACTGCACAGAAAACACAAGGCGTCTCTATTTAAAGTCAAAATCTTCAGCTCCTCTAGAAAAACAATAAATTCTAGGAAGAAATGATCGCCTACTTTCCTTTGATACACGGACAGCGCAGAAAATGTTGCGTCTAATATTTCTTACATTTTTGCCTGTGTATTTGTTGCCGCTGTAACGTTTTTATCGAACCGTTGCCTAACAATAATAAAGGGATACACATGCTGACACAGACTGATGGAAGGAATTTATGAAGTACGCCGTTGAGATAGGTTGAGCTCCCATGATATACATACCAAGTTTCATAAAAATTGGGTCAGGCATTCAAAAATTAATTCGGGGGAGGTTTCATAGACACACAGCATGGTAATCTCATAAGTCTATTTTTATTTTTAAAAAATAAACAAAACCTTAAAAATCACTGTTTGTTATGAGGATGTTAAGAAATACGTAAATATAATGTGGTGGAATAAGCATATGTACTTAACCTTAAAGATGATGGTATATATATAGTAACAACTATACTTTAAAGACTTAACTGTTATGAGTTATTTAGTTCGAGTCGTTTTGTAAACAAATATTGACAATTTTTGCTACCCTACGCCCTTTAAATACATCTTTTTAATGTGAACATGGGTTAATTATTTTTATACTCAGTGTTGCCTGGAGAAAATATTGTTGCCAAGGATAAAGAATGTTTTATTAAAATCGATAAATTTACAATTTTGTAATTACATTTGTACACAATATTTGCAAAGCTATGAAGAGACTCGCTGCAATTTCGATGCGGCGAATGAAGAAACTAGAAAGCACAACGTTTCGGAAACTTGCCTGTTTCCGTCCTCAGGTGAACGGGAGGGGTGAGACACCTACTCTGTTGGCTTCCTTAGAACGAGCTAACCTCAACCTAGTTTCTAGAATACCGGAAGATAGATAGACCAAAAGCCCAGTAATTCTCCTTAATTAATCACCACGTTATGAAAAGATCTGCTACCCTCTGGGCGGTCTCCAGACGTAATCCAGACGCTGTGAAAAATAAGAAAATTTCTTGCCCTTTCCGTGATTCGAACCCTATTCATTTTTCATCCAGTCCAACTTAATTAGCTATAACATGGACAGCCGAAGACGCTCTGCTGGCAAGGAAGTTCGCTGTGGCAAGGAAGTTCGCTGTATAAGTAAAAAAGTAAAGTAAAATATCCCTGTAACAGGCCGTGAAGGCACATATGGTTGTGAGACGTTGAGGGTCCCACATTATCTACACAATCGGCTCAAAGATGGCGGTAAGGTTGTCAAACTTACGCGCCGGCCGCGCTTTACTCCCCGGGATAATTATTAAATTAATTCCTGGTACTCATTTCTGTTAGAGGCTGAGTAAACCCCAGGGCCTGGCGCGGCTGGAAGGATTAGGTAAATTGAAAAAAAAAATTCCAGTGATCTCATTGGGACTTGCACCCGCGACCTTCGCTGTATTGCTATGTAAATAATTACGTTTAAAACGCCGTAGGGTAAACTGTGGTACGTCATGAAACTTGTTTTGACAGAATAACTAAACCCTGTATTTATCTGAGTATCGGTGTTGACCCTCTAATTATGGCGCATAACTCGCGGTCCCAAACCAGACGCGAGAAGTAGCTTCAGTTCACAGCTGCAGACATGCTGATAGGCAGGCCCCAGTGTAACCCCTTGACGCTGACCTCAGTACACCTTACTATTGCCTCAGTGAGGCGTATTGAGGTGCGAAATGTTTACACAAGCCTCAGCCCAGCAACTCTTTTTCCGCGCGCGAAGAGTTCTTCACATTGCACAATACCGGTTTCCGGCCAACGTAATGGAAACATTATCATAGCATTTGTCAGGGAGGTCTGAGGAAAATCAAAAACAAAACTCTCAGTACATTCGGTGTTCTGCCAGATAACATTTTACGGTTATATACCAACTCTTTAATTGACCAATTAAGGTACTATCCAAGAATTTGCATAGAGGGACAACGGAAAATCTTAGGGTAGTCAGTGTCCAGGCCAAGTTTCGAACCGAGCACTTTGCGAATAGAAATCCAGAGAGTTATAGCTACAGCTCCATACTTTGTTTAATCTAGTTGTCTTCTGGCATAATATGCATATCCGATTATCCTCCAATGCGTGCTGTATTTCCAACCCAAATGGACTCGCATTATAACTCATCCTAAAAGAGTAGGTAAAGGTTAGACAGTATCGAGCATTTTGTAAAACACCCTCAGTCTATGTTCCTCCCTTAATGTCAGAGGCCAAGTTTTATACCCATACAGAACCACAGAAAAAAAATATAGTTTTGTTTTCACTGTGAAATTTCAGGTACCCGTTTTCAGTGGCGACTTAATTTGTGTGCGATGGTTCGTTATAAACACGACAAGAGGTAGAGACTGTAACATTTTGAAAACAAAAACAATGAAATTGTCAAGGAGATTCTTAGGCTCTTTGGAGCAGTGTTTGACAGTATGTAAATCTTATCTCATGTGCCCACTTATGAAGCTGCCCCTGGTATGGAGCCACTACTTTAATGACGGACGCTGAATTATTACTTGCACATCTATTTGCCGACTGACTCTGTTGCAGATCGTATTGTTGGCTGCAATAGGAGCAATAATGGCTGCTCCACAGCGTCAAATCCAGGGGACGCCACTACAACCCGGTTCAAGGCTCCAGCCCATCGCCATTTTGAGGCAAGCACTGGACTTCCAGCACGACGGGTCGTATCAGTTCAGGTGACTTGATATTATGAACTTTGTGGGTTCAATGCATTCTGCAACAGGAATACAAAGAGGAGTAGAAGGATTAAATATATTTAAAATATATTATTTATGTTGAGTTGAAATTTATCTATTTTCTATTTATTTTACTTCAGTTGTGATCACCTTTCTTATATTTAATTTTACGTAATAACTTTATGTATGAATTTTCGTAACACTGAAGACTTCTGTCTTCTGGGATATAACGCCGTGTAGTCCGTGGAAAGTCAACTTAAGTTGCGGAGGAAGATGTAGCCTCAATCTTTAGAATCGATGAATAAGCCAAGCACAAACCAGAATGAAGCAGGTAGCAAGCTGAGCTCTGCTCTCCGAAACGTCGGTTGACTTTCAACGGTATACATAGCGTTAGATTCCAGATGATAGAACACTTCATGACCTCCGCTGAGAGAACCTCAAATCCGACATTGCATACACTTTAATATAACACATTTTAACTAGATTCTTAGAAGTTTAATATAAATCTAGAAGTGGCAAATAATGTTAAGTGTAAGAGGGTACGCGTGACGAAAATAACGGGTTCTAGGTCGGATGATCGGATTTATTGGCACTTCGGTTACAAGTTCTCTTAATCACATTCAATTATAAGGCTACCGCTATTCTACACACGTTCAGTTCACCGTTACACAGGCACTAGGGTTCTCAGTCTTCACTAGTCGTTTCCTGGCAACGGATCTCAACACAGAAACTAGCGTTTCAATTTACTATGAAGTCTTCTTGTCTTCAAACACTATGCACTCCTCTGTCCTCATTTGTACTCTGTAAGGGCTTTGCGACGCGCTGATCCCCCGTCCAAAGGGTCCTACCGACTGTGTGTAGGATTAAGAAACTGAAAACAAGGTCAGGGTCTAACAAAAGGATTGTAAATGTAGTAATTGTATTCTGTTGGAGCCGTAAGATGGAGCTAGTCTCTCCCCCGAACCGGATATGAAACCAGCGGAGTGAGATTCATACTAATCATGACTAGATAACAGAAGGAAAGTCCGCTTCTGAAAGTCTGCGTCTGTAGCTATAGCGACGGTAGAAAATGTGCACTTGTCAGTTAGAAAACTTCACACTTCGAAAATGATTTCCCTTCACAGGCATCCTTCAGTACTCGGACTTCACTCGGCGGGTTAGCGTAACGTGAAATTGTAGGCCTAGAAGCGACGGAAGTCGTTTGGAACCTCGGCCGGGGCACTGGCCATTCTGACCGACGTTTTCCTTGGTTCCCCTCGATGCCTCTGGGGTCACGATAGCTCAGTCCGTACAGCAATGGGCTGGAAGGCCGGGGTTCGATTCCCATAAGATATATGAGATTTTTCTCAGCTCCATAGCGTCCAGACCGACTCTGGGGCCCACCAAGCGGGTACTGGGGGTTCCGTGGAGCGAAGGTGACCACTCAGTCTAACTCAAGGATGGTATAGCTATACCACCACTCCCCCATACGTGTTCGTGGCGTAGTGCCTTAATTTATCTTGTGGGAGCCATGACAGCGCAGTCGGTAGAGCGACTGGCTACGGGCTGGACGACCAAGGGGTTGGAATTCGAGTCCCGGTAGTGTCAAGAACTTTCTCCTGTCTATATCGTTCAGACCGGCTCTGGGACCCACCCAGTTTCCTAACCGATGGGTACCGGGGCGGGGCTCTTTCCGCGGGAGTAAAACGGCCGGGCCGTGAAGCTGACCATTCACATCCAGCTAGTGCCGAGGTCAATAAAACTTAGATCTATACATCCTCTCCCCTCACGGCGTAGTGCTTAATTAGTTAAGCACAGGGACAATTTTACCTTCAACTTCACTTTACCGTTTACTGTTTAGCCAACGCCTTCAGACAATCTGGATAAGGCCACGAGAGTTTCCTTCCAAATCCTTTCCAATTTATTTATTATACTAATCTTCGATGCTATGGAATCTAGCCACTGACACTATAGTTAAATAAGCCACAAAGATAACTTTAATAGACCTTCCCTTTTGTTCACAGAGTGTACATGATTATTTCCTTAAACAGCATTAATCATTTGGTATTCACGCTGTTGTTCAGTCCGAAGAAAGAGTAGAATTCTTAAACATTGTTCAGGAGAACTTAAGGTTTCGAAGTGTCAGACTGCGGGGAAGAGTGGACAAATGACACCAATGAACGTGACTTCATGACCTACTCTCATGAATGTAACAGCCACTGAACGACAATAAACACAACTGCAGAGGTTATAGATCAAGCTACTTAAACAACATAAGTGGGCCCGACCATGTGCACCCACGTACGAAACTAAGGGACAAAGGACGCCGATAAATGAGGATGCCAACCCACGCGCCTGCGTCACTTTGAGTGCCTGACACCTGGGTAAACATTTGTCGTGAGATATTCGCAACGAAAACACACGCAATAAAAAACAATCCGTTATTACGGAGCTAAAACTGGGATTATCAGACAACTGAACGGAATAAGCCTTTTAAAATTGAATCAATTTACAATTCGCTCTTATAAAAAATTTAAGTTGAATAGTGCGTGCCCAAAAGTAGATTTCCCACACCCCCATAGATTTCGCGACCCACAATTTGTGAACCCCTCCTGAGGGCAATAACACTGGGGTTTCCCCTACCGCCTCTTTCACGTGATGATCAAAAATCATGCGCAACATGTTGTGGCGAGATTACTGTAGATGGCGACACTAATCATAACCTGTGCGAGGCATCTGGTGAGTGAACTTCGAACTGTAGGCATTTGAGATTCTCACCGGTGGTCAATCAGACGTATAGGAGGCGCTGGTTAACTTCGTGGACTGTTACCCATTCCAGTGTGGAAGCTAAGAAGGAAAACGGCCATTTTCAGGAGCACAATGGGTCTACTACTTTACGTCTAAGGAGGAAATAAAAAAATTCGGTGTCCCGTTTCCTATTTTTCCCGCGTGTCTCAATGATTACCTACCTCCTTGCAACCTGCGTAGACAACCAAGCCAGTTCCTCAACTTACACATTTAAAGTCTGCAGATGAAAGCAGTATATTCCTCCGAAACGTCGGTATCCGCCTACATAACACCAGAAGACCGCAATCTTAAAAATAACAACTATGAAGATCTCAAAATTTATATCCACTAGACTATACGGCGATATATCTCGCAACTGAAAGTTAGGCCCAGCGATAACGCCCTAGACTCATATTCGGGAGGTACTCCTCTCGAATCTCGATCGGGACTCTAGCTATCCTGACAGGTGTTTCGTGAATTTCCTCAATTCATCCACACATATTTCGGAATAGTACCGATTCCTTCCAGATCCTTTCAAATTCATCATTTGTTTAGCAACCTCCTATTCGGCGATACATGGTTTTCATACTGACAGCGCCTTAAATTACCCCTCCCCCAAAATAATTCTCTACTTTAGAAGACTACTCTCCTTAATCACTTCCACAAGCATTACAAATCTCGCAGTACAGAGCGTAAAGGTAAAGCTACCCCTGCAACAGGCCGTGGAAGGCCCACAGGTTTGTGAGAAATCGAGGCTTCCACATTATCTAGACAATCGGCTAACAGATGGCGCGCCGGTCTCCCTTTACCCCCAGGATGATCAATGGTACACATTTCTGTTAGAGGTTGAGTCGATCCCAGGGCCATAGTGAGGCTGGAAGGATTAGGTCAATTGAAAAAGCCAAGAACCTCTTGGGGAATCGAACCCGCGACCTTCCGTCTTGTAGCATAGTGCCTCAACCAACTACGTTATCGCGTGCCCCCTAGTAAGGAAGGCAATTTGAAAATGCAATGCACCTTTTCAGTTTTGTGTTTGTAAACTCTGTCATGTGAAATATTACAGAACTGTTTCTTCTTCTTCTTTTTTTCCAGTTACGAAACGGAGAACGGAATAGCAGCGCAAGAACAGGGATCGATCAAGAACCCAGGGCAGAAGGACGAGGCGTCTGTTGTGCAGGGTGCCTTCTCCTATACCTCCCCCGAAGGGTACCCAGTCAAACTGACTTATATCGCTGATGAGAATGGGTTCCGAGCTGAGGGGGCCCACCTGCCTACACCCCCACCCATCCCCGAAGCCATACTCAGGGCTCTGGACTACATCAGGGCTCACCCTGAGGAAAATGATGAGAACTTAAACAGGGCAAGGATCCCCAGCAGGGGCTTCTTCGGCAGCAAATAGATCTACGTCACTCGACTCGAACGGTCTTAGAAAAATCTCAAAATGAACAATAGTTAGGAAGGTTTATAATGTTGATTCAGGTATTAAAATATCGAAATTTCGACCAGATATATAAATACGAACATGTACAAATTAATCCATTTTAATACAGTAATATTAATAAATGAAAGCCTTCTTTGAATACAAACATGCCTATATATCACTGTTGCATTTAAATTAAGTACACCCAGGACCTATTTCTGTTTATAAATGCTTCATTTATTGGCTAGAACTTGCATCACTTTTATCTGTAATATTTATTTTACGAGCTTAAAAGGCTATATAAACACTGAAGCATAATGAAAGGTATAATCATCACAAAATACATTATTAATGAATATTTATTCACAGTTTTTAGGTGGACGTATCCTTCTTGATATCGTGCAAAGTAAACTGGTTTATATTTGTTAATTTTATATTCGCCATGGATGTCACTGAAAGTGAGAAAGCGATCATATTATAACAGCAGTTGTTGAACTGTACAAAATGGCCACTAATAAAAAGAAAATGGGAGCTAAGACACGGGTTTCAATTAATATTTCGTTTTTATGTTATTGAAATTCTAAACCTGATTTTGGTTGTAAAAGTCAACGAAATAAATAAGCACACTTTTCATAATCATCAACAGGCTCCTCTTTGCCTTTTTTTCTAAATAATATTTATTGCCTTGTTCAGCATGGACAGCGAACATACGTCTCATTTCTGCAAGCAATCAATCGATTTTGTCATATGATATATTCAACGAATGGAAAGCGCTGAAATGGCTGTTTGCACACATCTTACAAATAATAGGGCAAGCCTACAGAATTTTGTGACACATTTCGTTTCGTGATTCGACAATAAATTTGCCCCGGACTTACGTACTGACATGTTATAGTACCTCCGCCCCTGTGAGGTACGCTGGCTATGTTGTGACGTCACGCTATCACTGCACTTCCTTTCGTAATTAGACTGTGCCAACTGTGATGATACAGCACTGTTAAATAAATAAAGTTAAAGATGTTCCTGTGCTTAACTAAATAAGCACGACGCCATGAAGGCGTATGGGGGGGGTTGTATAGATCCACATTTTATTGACCTTGACACTAGTCGGAGGTGAGTAGACAGCTTTACTCCCCGACTGCTTTACCCCGGGAAAAAGCCTCAGGTACCTATTGTACAGAAGGTTGGGGGAAGACAGAGCCGGTCCCTACCGGGACTCGAACTCCGACCTCCCGGTCAGCCAGCACGTAGCCAGCCGCAATACCGACTGTGCTATCGCGGCTCCTAAACATTAATGATCTTAAATAATATTTTTTACAAGCGCACGAAATGTTGTAAAGGTAAAAAGGTAAAGCTATCCCTGTAACAGGCCGTGAGGGCCCATAGGGTTGTGAGATGTTGAGGCTCCCACATTTTCTAGATAATTGGCTCACAGATGGCGGTGAAGCTGTCAGCCTTACGGGCCGGCCGCCTTTTACCCCCAGGAATATTCCTGGTACTCATATCTCTTAGAGGTTGAGTCGACCCCAGGGCCATAGTGTGGCCGGAAGTATTAGGTCAATTGAAAAAACCAAACTCAACAGGAATCGAACCCGCTACCTTCCGTCTTGTAGCGTTGTTCCTCAACCAACTACGCTACCACGTGCACCCATATGCTAGAAGTAAAAAATAAAAGTTGTAAAGGTAAAGCTATCCCAGTAACAGGCCGTGAAGGCACATAGAGTTGTGAGACGTCGAGGCTTCCACATTTTCTAGGCAGTAGGCTCACAGATGGCAGTGAAGTTGTTAGCTTTACTCGCCGGCCGACCGCCCTTTACCTCCTCCCCCAAGGAAGATTCCTTCTATACTCATTTTCATTAGAAACTGAGTCCACCCCAAGGTCATAATGCGGCTGGAAACAGAAAGGCAGTTCCACTTATATTTTCAGTTTATTAATAACATAAAAGTGAAGGTAAAATCGTTCCTGTGCTTCAATATGTATGAGTCAACGGATGTATATTTCAACACTCGTAACCTCAGCTCCAGCAGCAGGAGAGTGCGGTCAGTTTCAGGCTATGGCCGTTCTTGTTGCAGGACAACCAGCTCCACGGTACGCATCATGCAGAAGGCAATGTGAAGCTCAGAGCTATGTGTGTTCCACAGGTTCAGTAGTTCTCCGTAGCTGGAATGTCGCTCAAAGAAACAGGATCTGTCACGAAAATTGGTACCCGTAGTTTCAAGGCATATACCTTCATACTGAGACATCCAGGGCCAAAAGCATTTCACACACAAAGGGGCTGTTAAAACACCCACACGATATTGCACGGTTATGATTTGAAAATGGAACCCAATTCTGTGTATAGAGCCAGGATAGCGCAGCCGGTATAGCAACTGGCTAAGGGCTGAACAACCAAGGAATCAGAGTTCGAGTCCCGGTGGGGGAAGACTTTTAACTTCTCTGTGCCATCCAAACCGGCTCTCGGGTCAACTCAGCCTCCTATCCAATGGGTACCGGGTCTCTTTCCCCGGGGGTAAAGCGGCCCGGGCGTGAAAATGTCCACTCATCTCAAACTAGTGCCAAGGTCAAGAAAACGTGGATCCATACATCCACCCTCCCATACATCTTCATTCCGTAGTGCTTAATTACTTAAGCACAGGGATAAGTTTACCTTTTCTACCCAAATCTGTGTTTATATTAACAATCTGCCTTCACCATAGCACGGAATGTTACGAAGTGGGCCTGTCATGTAAATGGAAGGCCACTGAGTCACCATCACTGCACATGTGACATGTTTCATGCAAGAATTATTTTAATATTCCTGGACTTGTTGTAGAATGTAATGAAGGGATTTGGTGATGAATGAGGATCTTTCAGGTTCTATAAAGAGAGAACTTCTTGAACAACTGAATACTCAATAGTGATGGCCATGCACTATGAATATATTTACCAGGAAGCAATTAAAGTTAGCTTTTATCCTGTTTAGCCAAAGGACGATGCATTCCCCATAGTTTCAAATTATTAGCTGTGTGGTCTGAAAAAACTGACTTCAGACGAAGCATATGATTTCACGTCAGTGGTCTGCACTGTTACAGTATTCTTTGTTTCAGTACATTTTGCACATTCTCTATAACATTTTGCAAACGGACACCGACGAAAATTAACGTTTGACACCCTTTACATGTAACACAGAAAGTAGTGCAATAAGCACTGAATGATAGTCATACACCTTTGGTGCGTTCACTCTACCTATTAGTTTCATCATGTCCATCCGTCTGTCTGCAATATCACACTGCCTTGCCCGTGTTAACCAAACTGCGTTTCACAGACCAATACAAAATTTTATCAATTTTTTGTTTTATTCTGTTCTAGTTTCTTCATTTTAGGGGACGTGTTACTGCATACATCAGCATTTACGTGTAACTGTGGTTCTCTGACAGATTCTGATGAGATTTTATCCATGTTCATACATTACATTAGCGTGACTGTGTATGATTCCGTCCACGTAAGTTGATTTCAAGCCCCTCATTACTGATACACTTGAACATATTTGCAATGTTTACATCAGGTACTCAGATGAGAAAATGGGTTACTGCATAAAGGTCACAAGGATGAATGAACTAAACAAGCAATATGTTACGTAACGTTTGCAAGTAACGCGTCATTTCGAGAAAATCACGTAGCATTAAAATGATAACGAGTATTTAAGTAGGCATTATCAAAATTCTTGTCCCAAGTCCTGTTATCGGCCTGAACTTGATAATCTGTTCAATTTACAGCCATTTACGCTAGCAGAGGGGAGAAAAACTAAGCATTTGCAGCCCCCCCCCCTCCCCAAGGGTGATTTTTTGAATAATCAAGACTGAATAAAGAAAGTAAATTGCCAATACACCAACATACTTTAAGTTAGCAAAATATTCTTAAACGGTTTAAACGTGCTTGTGAGCAAATATTTTGCCTGCACCTCCCCTTGGAAAATCTTTTGGAGGGGCGTTATATTTACAGCAGGCTGACGTCACGCATAAGCAAAATAACATGTTTAAGGTTGACCCGATAAAAAGTTTTGTCCAGTCACTATATTTGGCAACTCTGCTCTGTAAAAAAATTTGCGAAATGCAAAGGAACGATAACAGGATGCAATCTGGCAGAACCGTCTGGGCTATGCTACGACCCAAAAAACGTCTATTTCGCCAAAATGAATACCATGAAACGGCAATAACAAGCTGAAATTATAGTACAGAAATGCCACCAGGCTGTTCTTATTGGAGATATTCAAAATGTCGGCCCTTAATGCCCAGACAGAAGACGGGACACGCTGTATATGTACGTATAATGTATTTACGTTCATACTGAATTGAACTGAGCTAAGTATAAACTGGCAGTTGCGTAGCTAAAAATGACTTAATTACCAAATGTTTAAAAATCAGCACAATGAAAATAAAAAGCCCGGCAGACAGACAGACACGAAGAAAGTAACAGGCATGTAGGAACTGTCAAGGAAGATTGCGAATAACTGTAACAATGAAGAAAGCAGTCTTCTGGGATTTGGCACCGTGTATAAGTGGTGTTAACCGACGTTTCGGAGGAACGTATCACCTCCATCTTCAGGGTAGAATGTATAAGAAATCTGAAGATTGAGGCGATACGTTCCTCCGAAACGTCGGTTAACACCACTTATACACGGTGCCAAATCCCAGAAGACTGCTTTCTTCATTGTTACAGTTATTCGCAATCTTCCTTGACAGTTCCTACATGCCTGTTACTTTCTTCGTGTCTGTCTGTCTGCCGGGCTTTTTATTTTCATTGTGCTGATTTTTAAACATTTGGTAATTAAGTCATTTTTAGCTACGCAACTGCCAGTTTATACTTAGCTCAGTTCAATTCAGTATGAACGTAAATACATTATACGTACATATACAGCGTGTCCCGTCTTCTGTCTGGGCATTAAGGGCCGACATTTTGAATATCTCCAATAAGAACAGCCTGGTGGCATTTCTGTACTATAATTTCAGCTTGTTATTGCCGTTTCATGGTATTCATTTTGGCGAAATAGACGTTTTTTGGGTCGTAGCATAGCCCAGACGGTTCTGCCAGATTGCATCCTGTTATCGTTCCTTTGCATTTCGCAAATTTTTTTACAGAGCAGAGTTGCCAAATATAGTGACTGGACAAAACTTTTTATCGGGTCAACCTTAAACATGTTATTTTGCTTATGCGTGACGTCAGCCTGCTGTAAATATAACGCCCCTCCAAAAGATTTTCCAAGGGGAGGTGCAGGCAAAATATTTGCTCACAAGCACGTTTAAACCGTTTAAGAATATTTTGCTAACTTAAAGTATGTTGGTGTATTGGCAATTTACTTTCTTTATTCAGTCTTGATTATTCAAAAAATCCCCCTTGGGGGGGGGGGCTGCAAATGCTTAGTTTTTCTCCCCTCTGCTAGCGTAAATGGCTGTAAATTGAACAGATTATCAAGTTCAGGCCGATAACAGGACTTGGGACAAGAATTTTGATGATGCCTACTTAAATACTCGTTATCATTTTAATGCTACGTGATTT